ATATTTTAAAGATATACATTGTATACAGAGTAGATACTTCCCTCTCCCCAGAGTGGTCTCGATAGGTCAGCATTTTAGGAGTGTTTGTCCTGTTATGTATAGAAAAAATGAAGAAGGAAGATCACTAATGCTTATATTACACGTGTACAAACTTGTTAAAAAAACAAACAAACAAAACCAAAAAAAAACTGTAGGGGAAACAGTGAGCCTATAAAACATATAAAATAAAGCTTTTTTGTTTTACTTGCAGTTTTGTTGTGCTCCTTTTAAAGTTAGTGCTGATGTATATTTAGTAGGAATTAATTTTCTCTCACCCATCTTTACTTTCTGCTCTTCAAGCGCTATTAACTCTCAGATATATGCCTGTATAGGCAGTCTAGTAGTGCGTAAAGGATTTTTTAAATTTCTAAGTCTCTAAATCTCATCCTGATGACTTTACTATCAGATAGGAGTAGACAATGACAGTGGCATTGACAGTGACAGTGTGTAAAACCTGATGTTTTTATGATAAAAATGGAGATAAATTGGATTTCTGTATGTTCTGGAACTGAAGCTTAAGACTTTTTGTTCCTAGTAGGAAGATTCTGTGTTTTGTGGCATTTTGAAGACCCTAGACTTTGACGGTCTCACTTGGAAGCTACCTGTAACTATTGTTGTGTTTTACCATTTAGGGAAAGTGCGCTGGAAGGCGTACGACCCAGAATTCAAAATCACTGACTGAAAAAGATTTATTGGGGAAAGACAGTTTTGTTTGTTTGTTTTGTGTGGGTTTTGTTTTCATTTCAATCCTGTTGCTGTGTTTTGTCTCTGAGCATTACTGTTGCTATAGACAAGTTTCAGCTTTTGCTTTTGCTGTTTTAAACCCTAAAAATGGCTCTTTTCTAACAAACATTTACTGTTCTTCAAAATGCATTTAATATTCTAAGTCTGTTGAGATATACATATGTTAATGAGACTGAAAAGACGTTCTCTTTAATCTCTTATAGCAGTCTGTTATGTAGCAAATAGAATTGTTTTGTAATTTCCAGACCGTTATAAGATACTGTCTTCTATAATTCTCTATCCCACACTTGGGGGGAAAACCTAAAATTCTGAAGGAAAGGTAATAAAAAATAATACTTGAGAAAGTTGTCATGAGCCTCTGCTGAGTATGGCATTTCTGCCATGAAAGATGCAGTCAAACTTTCCTGTCCATCATAAGTGTTAGAGTAAAAAAAGCAACAAAATGAAACAAAAAACCCCCCCAAAACCTAAACAAACAAAAAACCCCCCAAACCTGAAGACAAACCGCACTGCTGCCCCCCCCAAAAAACCCCAACAACCCAGCAGGGGATTGGTTTTGTACTTCAGTCTAGAAACATTGCCCAAAGTAAGGGATCGTGTGCTCTGCATCTTGTAGTGCACTGACAGCAATAATAGATGAAATGTTACGTTCCTTTGAATGTGGTTTTCAGAATGCTGATGTTCACAGGACTGCTTTTGAGATTGTTAATGTTTACCTGTTTCATGCTGACATTTAAGTTTTTGTGGTATCTTAGTTTGTTGGAACCTGTGAGCAAGCTGAAGAGTATCTGGTGTTTCATTGTATAAGTAACTTTGCAACCTCCGTAGAAATTATATGTTTGGCCATCAGGCTGGATAGGGTCACTGTCTTCTGTGTTGGTGCTGCAGAAATAAAAGTAGCTTTGTTCAAAAGCCTCTAAATCTTCCTATTACCAGGGAAGGTTGTACAGTGAGGAGCAGCGCTGTGATATTTCAGCTTTACTGTGGAAGGATTTGTACATTCAACTGATAAATTATTCGTCTGTGCCTTTCACACCTGATTCTCTGGGTTTTTTGTGCTATTTTATACGCTTGTTTTTGTTTCTTCTCAGTTTGTTTCAAGCCTTTGTGTGTTGTAGACTGACTTTTGCCTGTATTTTTATTGTGTTTTCTCCTAGTACTTTACTTATAATTGAGAGTGCACAGTCTCAGCAAGCAATGAAGCAGTGTGCAAATGCCACCATGCAGGAAAAGTTGAAGATATTTCCTGAACTAATAAAGCGCAGGGGACTTAAAGTAGAACAATGAAGCAAGTAAACAAACACCAAGCATAAAATAACATGACCGTTGAATTCAGCTTCTGTGTAAGGCACTCAGTGACTGTGTGTTTTTTAAATGAGCTACGAATAAGTTGCATTTGGCATTAGGCAAAAAAACCCAAAGCACCACCACCTCCACCCCACACCCCCCAAAAACCCCAACCCAAAACACTAAAAACTTCACCCCAAAAGACTGTTCAGGCAGGGCGGGA